GTTTAACCTTCTAAGGTCTTTGCGTGCGAGTCTAAAAGTTGGATGACCTACATAGTCTAAAAGCCCGATGAAGATAACTGAAAACAAAAATCTAAGGTTTCGACATGTTGTCATTGATGGAAGCTACAGGAGATTTTTAAAAATATAGACTAAGGGCCCGTGTCCACTTCGACGGACACCAACCGACCCGACGAAGCCCGTCTCTCGGAAAGTCGGTAGTTGAAATGGAGCACCGTCTATTTCTTAAGAAATCAGTGAAAAGTCCGTTTCGCTGTGTCAACAGACACGACACGACACGCCCCGACAAAAGACGTGTCCGTTGGAAAGACGCTAGCTCAATTTTAGCCGGGCCGGGTCGTGACTCTTGAGCCATAGGCCCCGCCGGTGCTAAAAGAAAATTTTAATTTTGAGTTCGGATTAAAATTCTAATGTCATATTCGTAATCGGCGACTCAAAATTAGCAATGACTACGCACAAACCACCTGGTTTAAATTCATATTAACAATTTTACCAACTTTCCTTTAAAAACTCATACATTTCTTATTCCCGCCTTGGGTTCATTGACCTCGACCATTTATAGCCGTGTACCGAGGATACAGCCTTGGGACATAGTGTGAGGAGTAAGAGAGCCAACAGACAAGACGTGTCTTGTCCGAACAGGTGGACACACAATACGGAAACGACCCGACCGATTTTCTTCCTCCCTGCAAAAGATCGGCCGTGTCCGCCTCAGTGGATCCGTAGGGTAAGGGGATTTACACTCATACACCTAAAACATAAAGAGTTGACCTATTTTGATCAATTATTAACGCACGCTTATAAAACAGTCAAAAAGACGGGTGAGTACTTTTCAAGAGTTGTGTCATAATGTCTGGACAGTCTGGGGGAGACATCTTCAAGCTCACACGGAAATGGGGAAGGGAAAAAAAGGGGGGGGGGGCGGCAGGATAGTATTGCTGTCTCAAAATGAGCAAGTTATAGGCAAGGTTATTGTTAACTATTTATTGTAGTGATCCTGTTTATGAACCCAAAGGGCGGAATAGCGCCCAAATAATATATAACCGTATTGGATCAGGATTTTTCGAAAAAATACTTTTGCTTGGTCGATGGCCTACAAGAGTACCATGCAAATTTTCTTGCACACAGGTAAACTGGTAAATAATCTAGACTTTTTTCACGCAGACAGACGAAAGTGAACAAGCTATGGATGTTTCATGGTCCGGTAAGAGACACCAACAACTTTACTGTGAAAATCGCGTTGACCTCGAGTCTGCGAACTAGGCAAGGAACTTATTATATTTATAACCTCCTCAGAACTCGCTCAAGTCAGTTCCGAAAGGGGTTACAAGTTAACTGTTACGTCAACTTTTACACTTCGTTCCCTTATCTATATTATTTTAAAAAACTATCTTGACCAGTAGCTTAAATAATACAGAATGATTAAAAAAGAATACGCCAAAAATCATCTTTCGATATTTCAAAAACGAAAACCAGTAGAAAACTTCAGCATGGACAAATGTGTTGTACATACCTTCAAGTTTTTATTTAATGTTTTACAAGAGCTAAATGTGGCCACCACCGGCAGGACGGACAACATAAAGTCGATATGAGAATTCCTCCCAAACGCGCCTCGGGGTGTCTCAGGCCACCGTGTTAATTGTAGCTGTTATTCGATCTCTCATGTCATCAATATTTGCTGAAAGTGTTGGAACATAAACTTTGTCTCCCTAAACCCCCCCCCCCCCAAAACCCCCACAAAAAACCCCCCAAAAAACCAACAGACACAAAGTGAGGTCCGGGGATCTGGCATGCCAACCGCTGAGAGCGAGTTCTATATCACCTTTCCCACCAATTCACTGTTGAAGCACGTTTTTATTCAGATAAGTTCGACCCTAGAGATGGCAATAGGGCGGTGCTCCATCTTTAAAAAAAATTAAGTCATTCGAATCTGCTTGCAGTTTTCTATTGTTTTTGGCTTTTTAAATATCGTGTGATGATATTGGCGTATTCTGTTTGATTCACCCTGTATTTATAATCTGTGTAGAACTAGTTCAAGTAAGTTCCTATTGGGGGTTACAAGTTTACTGTTACGTCAACTTTTATTCTACGTATCCTTTTCTGTTAAAAAAGCTTTCTTGGCCTGTAGCCCACATAATACTTTTACTGAGAGGAAATCTGTTATAGGTTACCCCCATGAACCATTGGATCTCATTCTCAAGACATTTGCAAAAGAGGATGTTTTAAGGAAATACATTTGTGTCAAGACGCGGTGGAATCCAGCACTCATCAATTTTTGGGCATATGGACTTATTGGCACCATTTAAAAGCTGATTTATTTGCCTAACTTCCACTGATATAAATATCCATTTATCTTGAATAGAACTCAAGATATTTGCAATTGAAGGGAGTGAGGTCGCCTGGTTTCAGTTGTGAAATTAGCAAGAGAATAGCCGCCAAAGTTTGGTAACTCCAATAGCTAAGGAGTCTTTGAAAACTGAAAAATGACATATGCTGTGCCTTTAATCAATGTTTTTCAGTAAAATGCACATGAAATTGTGTTTTTATATGGACAAAAAGGAGGATGAGCCAAAAAATATGAATTGTGAGGCAGCCTGGTGGAATCAGGCTCTCGTCAATTTTTGGGCATATTGAGTTATTGGTATCATCTTAAAGCTTGTTCATTTGTCTTGCTTTCAATGAAAAAATTATCCATCCATCTTCTATAGAAGTGGAGATATTTTGGATTGAAGGAGGCGGGGGTCACCTGATTTAAGAGGTAAAATTAGCGAGAAAATTGCAGCCCAAGCTTGGTAAATTCCAAAGCTGGAGAGTCCATGGAAACTGTAACTTTATATTTTTGTGCCTATAATCAACATTTTCGGTGAAATCCTCAAAGGAATGTGTTAGTAAAAGGACATAAAAGATTTTGAGCCAAAAAACAAAAATTTGATAAAAATTGCTAAGCATGGAGAAAACTGCTGTTTTCTTCGATTTCATTATTTTGACGAGAGCCTGATTCCTCCACGCTGCCTCACAATTTGATAAAAAATTTCAAACTGGCGGGAAAATGCTTGTTTCCCTGATTTCGTTATTTTGACGAGCTCCTGATTTCACCACGCTGCCTCACATTAAGAGCTTTGATATTTTAAAAAATGTGAATTGGGGGGGGGGGGGGGTAAATATAACAAATTATAACTGTAATTGGGATGTTTTTACACCCCCGTCGACACAATTAAGGTTGATTGGGGGACTGGCTTCTTTTGGTCGTGCCTGTTAGGACTAGGACCCTTGCCTTAGCTGCTCGAGACACAGCATCATGACTGAAAGGCGGGATGTCTGATTTTTTAAAACACACAAAAAACATCCTCTCTCGGGAATCAAACTCATGTCTTCTGTGTGCTGCTGTGAAGAGCGTAAATTTTACACACCAGCAGATGCCGGCATCACCAAATTATATGTCCGTATGCCAACTTGCATAAAATTGTCCTCATTAAGCCAAGTCTTACAACCTCAACTTCAACATGACGAAATTATCTGAAACAGTTTCTTCTTGCTATCGTCCCACACAAACAAGGCCAGGAAGGCAAGACATTTAATTCGTACCTCATGTTTGGGATTCGCAAAAACATCAGTTATATAATTATTCCATGAACATAAGCCAGAGGACACCTTTATAACAGTAATCAAAATAGGGACTAATCAACTTTCTGTGCTTATTAGAGCTTATTTCCTTGTGTAGACCTATATCAGAGACATTCCATATGCAGGCAGACGCCTTGATTGTGAACAATATTATCAGATGATTTCGTTTGCGTCTCTTTATAAAATGTGTTATGTTTTTTTTTATAGTATGGAGTAAACTTCAACGACGTTCAAGGCTCTATGATCTTAACAAGTTTACGCTAGTGCGTTAATTGCACACCCTCCGATACCTTCTCCTCCTCTTCCTCTTCCTCCTCATCCTCCACTACCACCTCCTCCTCCTCTCCTCGTGGCCCAGTGCACGGGAAGAGGCCAGAAGTACAGAAGTACAAGGGAGACGACTCTTGCATGATACTCGTTGTCAGTAACTCTCTTGTTGTTTCCCGTTACCAGGTCAAGTCCATGTCGACTATTCAAAATGTACCTTGAAAGTTTCTTCACATTTCACGCATTTGCACATTTGAAATTACGTCGAAATAAAAGTAAAAATCAACATGCTCTTCAGGGGGAAATACTTTGTTCTTTATTGCTGCTGACTGTAGTAAGTACACTATACTTTTGAGTATATTTCATACTCTTCATCTTTGGGGCAAATCCCGAGCTTCGAAACATTTTTTATACAATATCGAAAAAAAAAAATTAAAAAAATACCAAAGTGATAACAGCAGCTAAAAAAAAAAAACATTAAAAAAAAACAAACATTGGTAAGCTATTTCTTGTTTGAAATTTCCAGTCAATAAAACGATAATGGGATATTCTTTTTGAGAAGCTGAAAATCCCCCACTTTGAAAACAAAACTTGTTTTTCAAACCCTAGAAGCTTTATTTTTACGGTTGCGACTTCGTTGACGGTTGTCCTTTGGAGGTCCTGCCAGGTCGAGGCCTTCACATGTGGTGGAGCTCTCAACGCATTTCTTCTCTTTATCGTCCCACGCAAGGCCTGGGGGGCAGGGCATTTCGTACCTCACTTCATTTGAGCATATGGCAAACCGGCTGCACGTGTCACACAGCTGGTACTGTCCGTCGTCCAAACCCTCACAGGCTGTGATGCATCTCTTTCTTTTTCCTGCCGGTATATTATCATTATTATGATTATGATTTTGAATATGATTATGATGATTATTATTATTATTGTTGTTGTTGTTGTTGTTGTTGTTACTACTACTACTACTACTACTACTACTACTACTACTACTACTACTACTACTACTACTACTACTACTACTACTACTACTACTATTATTAATTATTATTATTATTATTATTATTATTATTATTATTATTATTATTGTTGTTGTTGTTGTTGTTGTTGTTGTTGTTGTTGTTGTTGTTGTTGTTACTATTACTACTACTACTATTAATAATAATAATAATAATAATAATAATAATAATGATAATAATAATAATCATTATCATTATTATTGTTGCTGCTGTTGTTGTTGTTGTTGTTGTTACTATTACTACTACTACTACTACTACTACTACTACTATTATTATTAATTATAATAATTATTATTATTATTATTTTCATTATTATTATTAAGTATTTTTTATTATTACAAGTATTATTTATTTATTTCTTATATTATTATTGTTTTCATTATTATTAGATTTATTACTATTATTATCATCATCAATATTCACAAAATAATATTTTGATTGTTTGAGTAAGGTAGAGCCACATCAACTGAATAAATAAGATCTTTCAGTGCAAAGAAAAACGGGACTGGTTAATAGAAATATCAGAGAAAGAAAGAGAGAGAGAGAGAGAGAGAGAGAGAGAGAGAGAGAGAGAGAGAGAGAGAGAGAGAGAGAGAGAGAGAGAGAGAGAGAGAGAGAGAGAGAAAGAAGAAGAAGAAGAAGAAGAAGAAGAAGAAGAAGAAGAAGAAGAAGAAGAAGAAGAAGAAGAAGAAGAAGAAGAAGAAGAAGAAGAAGAAGAAGAAGAAAAAAAAAGAAGAAGAAGAAGAAGGAGAAGAAGAAGGAGGAGGATGAGGAGGAGGAGGAGGAGGAGGAGGAGGAGGAGGAGGAGGAGGAGGAGGAGGAGGAGGAGGAGGAGGAGGAGGAGGAGGAGGAGGAGGAGGAGAAGAAGAAGAAGAAGAAGAAAAAGAAGAAGAAGAAGAAAAAGAAGAAGAAGAAGAAGAGGAAGAAGAAGAAAAAGAAGAAGAAGAAGAAGAAGAAGAAGAAGAAGAAGAAGAAGACGTTTTCCTAGACAGAAACGACTAACAATGTTAATTAAGTTCACTCACCTTCACTTACACCCAGCAGGACCAGAAGGAAAACGAACGAGAGAAGGCTCTTCATGATTGGAGAGCCGAGGGATGATGTCAATGAAAGCTTTCTGTTGTCTGGGTAACAGCGAGATGCTTCAGCCTGTCCTACGCACAATGTAGCGTTAAAATCCTAAGTAACAATGATTATATCCAGGTGCTTATATAGATGACAATTTTTTTTTCTATTTACATTGATACCTCAATCATCGGGACAATTATACAGTTAAACTAGACATTTATTGCTTGACTCCGAATATGCCCTATCTATTTATTGTTTAGAATAATGTTGGCCCGATATAGGTGTTTAAAGCCATCGGACTACATAAATTATGTACGAGGACATGCATTTATTCAGACAGCTGTGAGGTTATGAATACTAATGAGGGAACTGATTTATTGAAAAAGAAATTTTGTAGCGAAGCAGAATTTCGATTCTTAAGCTCTGTTTAATTCCAGTACGGGACGAGAAATCATGAACGTCTGGGAAATAGTATAATTAATAATCCAATATGTCTCCTCCATGGGGCTCAACTCCCTCTTTGTATGTAGGAAGCCACTCAAACACCACAATCTTCCAGGTTCATGGATGCCATGTTTAGTTTTGTAGCCGACTTACTTTCCCCCCACGCCTGGCTCTTTCTCTTGTCAATTCGTTTATTGCGTATAATATAATATGTCAAAATAGAAAGATTTGGCGACAGAATCGCAGCAATGGTACACTAGAATGAAGGGTGGGCTGGTTAACAATCAATGTTGTCTAGCGTCTGTGTCACCCGTGTTCTGTGTGGAGATCGGACAAACAATGACGTCGTTGTTCAGTGTATTGAATCAGTGAGTTAAGTTTGTTTTCAAATGGAATGTAATACTAATACCGTCTTTTCAATGCAGTGATGAAATCGTGTTGAATACATACTGGAAACTCGCTTTATTTCTTCGTCTTATGAAATATAAGCTCACTGTCAAGAAACTGGGAACAGTGGGAGATTTAGTTTGCAGCCTTAATAGTATAGTGGGTCTATTTTAAGTATTTGTGGTAAACGTGAGGTCGTTCCTGGTCACCTATAATATTTCAACAGACTAAAAATTAGTAAAAACAGACGGACTACCCCACCTCCCCCCCGCCCCGCCTCTTTACTGATAGTTTCTAATTGTCTGGGTATTTGGAGAAAAGTGAAAGGCCTTAGAACTATCGCTGAAATCATTTAATTTTAAAAAACAACAACACAATTCTTAAACAAAAGCACGCAGTTAATTGAATTTTATTGACACTCGTTCAATTAGCTCAGAAAAAAGCCTCAGCTTTCGATAGCAGCAAGCTGATGATGATGATGATGATGATGATGATGATGATGATGATGATGATGATGATGATACCAAAGTAAGTGGTGTAGAGAGAGAGCTGATAGACAACAGCGCTAGCAAAAGACTGAGCTGTGGTATACATGTATTTAATTCAAGTGAGTTTCCTCTTCAGTTCATGATTCAGAAATGTATTCTGATACCAACGCTATAAATGTACACTTCGTATGGGAGATCGGTGGTGTTGTTTAAACCCCCCATCCCCCACCCCCCACCAATTAAAAAAAAATTGAATTATACGTGTATGCCAACTGACACTGTCAGAAGGCCTACATAGAAAGAAGTCATCCGCAGTGTTACATTTGATGGGTTTAAAGGAAAAAACGCGTGTTATGACAAAGTGGAAATCATGAGGATATCAGCTTTAAAAGCTGGTAGACTCATAATTTCTTTTCTGTTTGACTTGTGTTTATAATTCGTATTAGTAGAAAGCGAAGTCAAGAAATTAGTAATCCAGCAGTTTAACAGAATGAAACTATGAGTGAACAAGCTCTTAACATTGATACCCTGACGTTTTCCAATTTGTGATAACACCCGTTCTTTTCCCATTGAACACCTCCCTCTCAGTAGTATGCCTTAGAGGCCAGACCAACAATTTTTTGGTATATTACATTTTGACCCTCATCATTCTTGTTAATGAAGCGCAAAATATAATCTGGAGGCGGGCTGCTTCGACTACATTTAATATCCCAGCAGACAGACGGAAGGGCTCTCGTGGCCTAGAGGTTAAGGTGTTCGCCTCTCATTCAATAGGTCCCGGGTTCGAATCCGGATAGCGACGGAAATTTTTCTCCTCCCAAAGGGTCTCCTTTCACCTCTTTTTCTAATCTCTAACAATGTTCTCTGTCGTCTGCTTTCATCTCCACTTTCTGCCCCCCACCCTTTCACCTCTTTTGCCCCTTCCTCCTCTGGGCTCCTGACTCAATCTGCAGCCTTTCTACTGCTACTCCTTGGCTCTTTCTTACTGCTGTTTTTCAGCCACACCCCTGATCTTATGGTAGGAAAGATCTACACTAAGCTTTTTCGGACAAGGGTGAAAAATCTCGGAGGTTCCGTGTGCAAGTTGCGCACGTCAAAGATCTCTTGGTGGTCCAAAACTGATAAGAGTAGGCTTCGGTCGCCACCCAGGCAAAATTCAAAATTTCCAATTGAAAATGTTTAATGTGTCCCGCGCGCTCATATGACCTTTGCAGTTGCGAGCGCCGTAAAACACTTCATGAAAAAAAAAAGTAAAAAAGGCAGACGGATACATTTAATTAAGAAGAAAAAAATGCTCCACTGCTACTTGTAGTAAATCAAACTTCACGTCCTTTGCTTTCAATTAACAACGAAGACTTTAACCGGCACATCACAGACACCAGCCTTCTCTGGGCCTTGACAGACGAGCTACATTATCGCGCAGGTGTCGCTTGCTTTTGTGTGGCAGCCACACGGGGCGACGTTTAACGCTACCGCTCAGTTCAACATGGACGATCGGAGAGTTAGGGTGGCGTTGGTCATGGTGATGAGAAGAATCTGTAAAAAAAGAAAGGGACACAGAAGATTTTGGGTTCATCCCATTGTTTCTCACAGATTACTAAGAGGACAGTTTTACACCTTATATGAAAAACTTCAAGAACATGTCAGGATAGAAGTCAAATAAAATGGAAAAGTTGCTTACGTGTCTGTTTCTTCAATGCATCACTTGCATCATAGCATTCTGGTCTGAGTTCTAGGCATACATCTATCCCAGCATAATTTCTATTAAATTTTGTTTCTATTTTCCTCACTAGTGTAGTCCTAAATGATGTTTCTGTTCTTTATTTCCAAAATCAAATGCTCTCTTTCGTGATAAGAGGACATGGCTGCAATGGGAATGTTGTCGTGTTGAATGAGAAACGAGAAAAACACAACTATTGTAGGAATGCGCCGGTAGTAAATCCATCTCGTGTGTCCGCGTCCCTTGAACTGTGCGCTTCACCAAAAGGCTGGTGTGTCGCGGCGTAGCGGAATTTGGGCGACACACGTAGGAGCAATCAAGGGAAATCGCCTAAAACGAGGAGCTTCTTGGATGGCTGAGGCTGAAAACACTATCAAGGAAGTCTGCCCACTGGAAGATATAATGCGGGGTGAAGAATGGATAAAGATAAATAAGAGACAGCAGGGAGATTTTGGGAAGGTAGTGATTACGCTGAACAGAGAATGTAGAGAGTGGCCGCAGGGGGCGACAGATGCTGAGATATGACAACTGGTTGAAGAAAACTCACGGCACGGAGATGTGGTTGTATACACGGATGGATCTGTTAAACGAGGGGGAAAATCTGGATGGGGCTTCTCAGCAAGAGTGAGTGGCAGGTTGGTGCAGGAACAGCAGAGAGCATACGATATGACAACATCTAGCATGAGAATGGAGATAGAGGCAATCACTCAGGCTCTCAAATGGTCACAACAACTCGACAAGCTCATGTGGTCTTTGTCACAGACTCTCAGAGCACTCTGAGGAAGATAGAGAGTGGGAACCTTGGAGCTGAATGGACAGAGCTCCTGAAGAAGACAACACTGAAAAAGATCACGTGGATCTTCACCCCGGCCATGCTGGAGTCAAGGGCAATGAGCGGGCTGATGAGCTCGCTGGGAAAGCAAAACTAGAAGGGAAGCTGTGCCCTGACAAACCTGAAATTGTACGTTCAGTCAGGGAAGAACAAGAAAAAGAACAAGACGAGTCGGAATACCATCATCTTGAGCAACTTCGTGAGCTTGGAATTGGATGGGGCGCCTGCAGAAGTTCAAGACTTAGTGGGAGGAGAAGGCTATGGAATCAACCATTGCTAGGAACCGTCAGCATCTGCACACTTCGAGATGTACTTCTTCAGGGGACAGAGCATGCCCCTTGTGCAGTGATGTCTGTCCTTCACACAAGTAAACAAGTAAGTAAACGTCTGCTACGCCAGGACTGAAAAAAAAACGCATGCCGCTCGTGTGACCGCACCCATTGTCTACAGTGTATCACTAGATTGCGCAGAAACTACTGCTGCGATTTTTACATATCGTCCTGTCAAGGCCCTTAGTCTTCTACCCAACGCAGTAAGGCGTTTGCACCCCCGTCTATTCTGTTTAAGTCATTTAGGAGGTAGGCTTGGACCCTGCTTGTCAGGGCCAACCCGGGATGAGGGAGATACAACTTCAAATAGAAAGACTAAGTACTCGATACATTATATTATCCTCACACAGAATAGGAATCGAATTCTGGTCCTCTGCGTGCCACGTCGAGCCACTGGGGGATCGGGTCGGGTCGAACTGCTAGCCAAATTGAGGGCTCAAAGCGGCTATCGAGGCACACGCCGATCGCACCAAACTCGTCCCCTAAAAAAAGAAATGCGTTCGTTTTCAGGCGACGAGTGGGGCGATCGACCCGACCTGGCCCGACCCGATCCCTCTCAGTATAACCACAACAAGTCGTATCTAGTTATCTGGTGTAATTGCTGGCTCTCCTCAGTCTTCTATTCACAGTGCTTGAGTACGACAGAAAAATGAAGGGATTAAGGAATGACGCTGTCTCTCTGTCTGTTAAAGATGAGAACGATAGGCTACTGGAGACAGATGAAGCAAAAGGCCGGGCTTTCCTTGAGAGGTACATCAAGCAGACTCACCAAGGCAACATGGAGGAGCGTGCTAACACCAGGGCAATTATGAAGACTGCTGTGCCAGAGGTGCAGTATGGAGAGGGTGTCACAATACAGGAAGTGAAACGTGTCATAAGTGGAACGAAGGATAGTGCAGCAGGGCCTGATGGGGTGAGATACAGCCATTTTAAGGATGCAGATGAAAAAGATCTACAGGGCAGAGTGGAGGACTTCAACGAGAGTCTGGCCAAAGGCAAGATCCCAGAGGAGTGGCTACACAGCTACCTCATGCCTCTTCCTAAACCAGGCAAAGACCACTCCAACATCAAGGGATACAGAATCATCACCAAGCAGAACACGTATGGAAAGATCCTGGAAAAGATTGTGGCCAAGAGGCCGGCAATTTACCTAGAGAAGAAAAAGCTCCTTCCAGACGGCCTTGGAAACTACAGACCAGGGAAAGACACCTGCACAAACACGGCTGTGTTAGCCTGTGATGTATTTGAAGGTTCCAGAGAAAGGAGGAGACAGCAGTGGCTGCTATAGACCTAGAGGATGCTTACAACCGAGTTGATTACGGCAAGCTCATGGATCTCCTGATGGAAATGGATGTTGACCCCTGGTTGATACAATGGATCTCCGAAGCCCTGCTTGAGAGGAAGGTGGTGCTGAGAAGTGGGCGGTGGATGTCAGACCCAGTAGTGATTGCCTCAGGACTGCCACAAGGATCAGCATTATCACCGGTTCTGTTCAACATATATACATCCAAAATTGCCAGGATCGGTGTAAGTGGAGCAGAAAGAATCCTCACATTTGCAGATGATGTGATGGTCTACGGACAAGGTCGCGATGGGCTAGCGGTTGGACGGATGCTACAGGACAGGCTGAACAAGGTCGCAGATTGGTGCGAGGAATACAAGGCGGTCATCAATCCAGACAAAGCACAGGCCATCTGGTGCTCACTCAACGACCGTATTGTGAAAGATCCTATGCCTCCAATTGTGTTTGACCACTTTCTCATAGACAGACAGCATGAGCTGAAGTACCTGGGAATCCCTCTGGACGGGACACTTTCGTTCCGAGGACATATTGACAATGTTGCTGTCAGGGCTCAGAAGGGCATCAATGTAGTGAAGACCTTGGCTTCAGCGGAAATTCAACAGAGACTTCTTTTTCTCCTAATGCAGCTGGTGGTTCTGTCAGTCATAGACTATGGGCTGGGCATCCTCTCCCTGTCCAAGACTCAGATAGACAGGTTGAAGAGAGTACAGAATGCAGTTATGAGGGCCGTTCTAGGTTGCACAAAGGACACTCATGTTTTCTGTATGAGATACATCCTTGGCCTGGCCAGCATCAGAGTGAGGCATAAGGTGGCACAGGCAAAGCTGTACTTGAATGTTTTGGGAGACCCGAGGCACCTTTTGCATGACAACCTGGGCAGCATCAAAGGAAACAGGATCAAACGGGGCAGCTCATGGATGGTAGAAGCTGAAGACTCATTGAGGAAAGTTTGTGGCATCGATGAAATATGCTGTGGAAAGGAGTGGTTTGAACTGAGCCCCGATTGCAGAAGCCTGGCCAACGTTCACATCACTATGGGTCGTGAAAGACGGGAATGTGCTGCTGTCATTAACGACAATGATATACGACAGTTAATTGAGGAGCATTACAAATCAGAGGACCCAGTGATCTATACGGATGGATCAGTCAGGAGGGGTGAGAGAAGTGGATGGGGTTTTGTGATGTACAGTGGGAACAAAAAGGTTCATGGCATGTCAGGGGCCATAGAAAGAACAGCTTCAAGCATGGAAATGGAGATTGAGGCTGTAACAAGAGCGCTTGGATGGCTTCATAATACAAGACCAAGAACAACTCATCTCATCATTGTCACGGACTCCCAGAGCATCTTGCGAAGGGTTGAGAAAGGGCTTCTTCGGAGTGAATGGATGAACCCAATACAACACTCATCACTTAGAGCCATCACGTGGATATTCTGTCCTGGGCACTCTGTAGTGAAAAGAAATGAGGAGGCTGATAGGCTGGCAGGCAGTGCCGTGGTTGATGGTGAGGTGAAATTTGACAAAGGAAAAGTGTTGAAGACCCTGGAGAAAAAATTGCGGGATGAAGAAGACAAGGAGACAGCAGAACACCACGCAATCATTACGATGCGGGAAATGGGGATAGAGGGGGAGAAGAAAGAAAGCAATGATTATCGGGAAAGGAAAGACGTCGCCATAATCAGACAGCCACCGAAACAATCAGTATGGATACCTTGCGGGCTTTGGTGCTGGGGGGAACTGAGCACTTATGGACCAGTCCGGTGTGCAATGACGTTGTTGCCCAGGACAGGTAATACAGGTAATACAGGATCACGACGAGACAAGATTGTGACTGATTTTCCAGGTGAGTAGGCCCACTGAGTGTTTCTTCTTTCAGGCACCCATCCCACTGAGTGTTTCTTCTTTCAGGCACCCATGTGTTGTTTTTAAAGTAATTTTATTTCTGACTGGGGTTTCTTTGTCATTAATGGGTGAGGTTTCCAATTCTGAATTTGGCTCGCAGGCGTCTGTGGTATAGCGGTAAGGCGTTTTACTGTTGCACGCAGGAGACCCGAGTTCGATTCCCGAGTGGGGAGAACATTTTTATCGATTATCTCGGTCTTTCTGCTGCAACGTTGTATCCCTCTCAGCCCGGTTGGCACTGACAGGCAGGACCAGAAGCTGCCCTCTAACTCTAAATGATCTTAACTGATCTTAACACATACATTTAAAATGGCCCAAGCAGACGAAATCAACATGACTAGACTGCTTCGACCTTCCACTAACTGCAATTCGAGATTCTCAAATCTTCCACATCCATAAACATTACTCTGTTCCGTCAGTACCGCCTCCTTTTCTCTGTCTCGGCGTTTCTTGCTCACACTGTGTGTGTGTGTGTGTGTGTGTGTGTGTGTGTGTGTGTGTGTGTGTGTGTGTGTGTCTCTCTCTCTCTCTCTCTCCCCCTCTCTCTCGAGCGCTGGACCTACGATCATGGCTCTCCACTCACTACTATTTTCAGTCATCCCCAGAAATGTTGCAGTGTCCTAACTATTAATTTTAACAGTTGACCAAGATTTTAAAACTAAAGATAATTTCGTCTGCCTCTATTCCCTTTTCTGTGATCTTTCCGATTAAGACAAATCCGATTTTCAAGACTCTTGTGAAGGCATATGATTAAAAAAAGATTGCAATTGTCTCTCCGCAGATTTTTTTGGGGTACACTTTACATGTACAATGTAGGTGCTTTTTCGCTCCCATTGACACAATCTAGATCATTTCGGAGATATGCTTTTGACCCTGCCTGTCGGGACCAAACTGAGCTGAGAGGGGTACAAAAACCAAGCAGAAAGACCATACTCTGTAAAAATTTCTCCACACTAAGGAATCAAACTCGGGTCTCCAGGTCCCCAGCATGCGATAGCGAAGTGCCTAACCACTACACCACATATGCTGGTCTGACCACTCAGAACAACAACAGCTGACACAACAAATAGAATGAAGGACGGCAACAATCTCAACAAGTGACTGGTTTAATAGACAGCTGTGGATGTTACAACATGAACATGATAAAATATAATGATGAAATTATCGGACGCATTATATGGATTTAACAATGGGCTTCATTTCAGGGCTATATTTTTCTTCTCTCTCGTTTTCCCTCAAATATCAATGACTACGTCAACCCCATTTCATTTCACAACATGGGGGGTTTGTGAAAAAAAAATGTGCAAAATTATAAAGTTTTAATGCCCCATGCAACACAGTAAAGCTATTTAAAGACAGACCTCTGAATTTAACATCAATTATTGATATGGAAAAGTTGTGGAGGTTTGTCCTCAAAATTTTTATGTTGAACTCAAAGGAAATGATGATGATTTGGGTAGTGTAGCATCACTTAGACTGTGCTGCACCTGGAAACATACAGTTTGTGCATATCAGAAAGAAATGCATCACCTGAGCTGTGCCAAATTATAATCTTTAAATGTTTATATTTTCACAACCTCATTGACACAATATAGATCATTTAGGAGGTGAGATTCTATTCTGCCTATCGAGGGCCAACCTAATCTGAGAGGGGCACACCGTCCCAGCAGAAAGACCGAGATATTCTATAAAAATTCTCCCAATTTGGGAATTGAACACAGGTCTTCTGCATGAGGTGGCCAGGAAGTATTACAGGAATGATAATGAAGTGATATAATATGGGTTCAATGTATCATAATGTTACTATATTTACAAGAGGTAAGACTGGAGGGATAAAACTGACCAGATTCCAGAGATAGGACAAATTTTCCTTCAGATGTAGCATTTATAAATGATAATGTAACTGGGTGAAAAATAAGTTAGTGAAGCGTATGGTAGGCATAAACATGGTTCTTTTACATGTAAATGTCTAACTCCATCTTTGTCGATTCGTTAATTTATCTCTCTCACACATGGAAGCATGGATGTTTTTTTCTATGACCGGAACTATTTCTCTCTCACAGACACTAATACAGCATATATAAATATATGCACAGAAACATTAAAATAAGCTGAACCACATGTGAACATTTATGCATGCAAGCATACACACACATACACACACAAACAATCACAACAGAATAGAAGTTTTACAACCCCTTTCCTCACACACACATTGCAAGCACACATGCAAAAATTACACGTATATATATATATGCATGCACACCTACACAACTCAATGGAGATTTAACAACTCCTTCTCTCTCCACACAGTGTATATAACATGTCAAAAGAGCAAAAAACAATTCAGCAGACATAACATGTTGAAAAAAATCCATCAATCTCAGTCCCACATACAGAAAAAAGCAGGCCTACTGATAATATCAAAACGTTTGTAATCAGAACATTCTTTCGGAAATATTTTCAACACACATAACCCACTTCCTGCATACAAAAGTTATGCAGTTCTTCTGACTGAGCTGCCCAAGAAAATTTTTATTAAAAACTTTAAAAATTAGCCCTTAACACTGACTCATGAATGTCGACATCCATGCTGTACATGTCACTTCGGTGGGCAAATGCATGCATGATTCCACATGTAAATGAGTTGCTTAATCTGTCGGTTCGATACAGAGCAGAAAGAAAAATATGAAGGACATAATTTGAATGGGCTCAATTCTAAAATTGACTTATTCCCCAGCTGACGTAGGCTATTGATAAAACTTCCAGACCGAGTATAAAATGAAATCACTAAAAAAAAATACAAATTAAAAAAATTTCTTAAATTCCATCACCGAATAACAACAAAACTTCTTGTTGAGAAACAGCAGAAACATGCAGTACCTACTGTAAAACATTGTACTTACGAGGGATCTGAGCAGTACATGCATCAGTTCACAACCATCTGCTCAGACTAAGAAGACTGAACTTTACAACAACAAAATCCCCAAATTATACAACTCATCTTGTATAAATTTTCAAAACAATCTTAACATTTAAGACTACAAATGCACATTATTCTGTACAACAGAATTGAGGACGGATTCACTGATCTGAAGCACCAAGCTTAAAAATTTGTCTAAACCTGACAAGTAGTGAAATGAACATGAAACTGATTTATATGAATCCAACTTTTACTTCACACTTTACTCATTCACTAGGCAACAATGGACATCAATATAAACTTCCAACAGAAGTCTTGCTCATTTGCCGAGTGGTGGCCAATTTGTTTGTTCTATTCATACCAATTCAATTTAACCATTTTTGCCCCCCCCCCCCCCCCCCCCCCCCCCCCCCCCCCCATCTTTTTTGGGAAACAAAACATTTTTCCCTCCAGTCATACAAATCTTACTTGAGTTGAGCTGTTTGATGATAAACTCAATCTGTCGGTTCATATCAGGCTGGTCATCTTTAAGGAAGCATCTTAGGATTTCCTCCATGCCCTTTAATAGTCAAGGAAGGGTGAATGCAAGCATCATAAAATAACCTACATTACATTCATTCATATGTCTCAGTTTCAAGACAGAGCAAAGAACATTGTAAAGAGCAACTTTGACAGTTTTTACAACTTTTCTACTTGAGTTTATGGAAGCAGACACTCTTTGCTCTGAGTAAAGAGAAGCATGTCACCACAAAGATGATTATTTTGTGCTAGGGAAAAAGTAATACCAGACCATCAATGATTTATTTATAGAGGCACCAGCCATCCATGTCCAGGTGCTGTATTAGCCGGAAAAAGTAACACAGACAGAAACAACAGAGGAGCAAGTAAAGAAATAGAAATTATACTAAAAGTTTCATTACGGAAGATGAATTTATTCGCTTGAGTAAGAAGAAGCCAGATGACAATCATTTCATGCAGGAAAAAAGCACTTGATCACTGACAGCACTGCACAAGTACTTCCCACATGTCCCTCACACTTACTTGATGACCACCAGGTATACTCCTCTAATGACATTTCCCCTATAAGGCTAACAACAAAAACACTTGTTTTGAAGAAAGATTTTCAACAGACCTGTCTAACTTTCTGTATTCTACTCCTTGCTCTCCAAACTTTTTCAAAGACATTCTTCATTCATTTGATAAGAAAATGTACGTTGAGACTAAAATCAGTCCAAAATCTAACAGATGAGTACCCTTTTTCTTAGAAAGCATAAATGGCAGCTGTAGTCCTAGCTGGCATACAAGCCACAGGATTGCTGGGGTTACCGAGGGCTACAGCCAGAAGTACACTGTCGTACACTGAGGTGTGAGTTTGCTGAACAAAAAGGTACAAATAGTTATGTTCAGGTACACGCTCTGGTCCCTTGGGTAAGACAAAACAACACAGGAGAATAGGACCGTATGTGCAAGGCAAAGTACGATTTGAAAAAACTATTTGTCAGGCATTGTGGTGAAATCAGGCACTGGTCTGATATTTTAAATAAAATAAAAGAAATTTTTTTCTAGCCATTGGGCAATTTTTTAGGAAAATTTTTTTTTTTTTTTTTGGCTCAACACCATTTATGTCCTTTTCAAATCCCATTTCTGTGTGAATTTTTCTGCAAAACGTTGATCAAAGGCCCCAAAAATGTAAATTTGCAAGTTTCCTAGGACTGTCAAGCTTTGGAATTCACCAAACGTTGGCGTGTGATGATACCAATAGTTCAATATGCTAAAAATGTGATGAGTGCCTGATTCCACGATGTTGTGACACATTTATGCATGACATTTTTGGTTATGTTACTCACCATGGCCTTGGCGTCTTCTCTAATCGACGGGATAGCCAGGATGCTGTACAATGCTCCATTGACATAGGGACGAATCTGAAACAGATGACATGATGATATAAAGTCAACAATTTGTTTGAGGAATGCCCCATACAAGACAATCCCAGAAAGGCCAGAGCCGGCGCTAGAAACAGACACATTTTTGGGGAGTTCGGTGACACTTTGACAGACCACCGTATTGTTGAAGATATTCGACGTCGCTTTAAGAAGAATGAGGAAAAAGAAAGTCTACATCAAGACCAGCTTTATTTGACCAGTCATAGTAAGGAACTTGCTCAGTTGCTCAATAGTTTTTGTTATATCAAATACAATATTAACACAATTCAAAGTCAAAGTCAGAACATTTCTTTTCACACAAGAGTAAGTGAGGTAGATTATCAAGAAATTGCCCCTTCAGCAGGCCATTACTGATCAGTAACAGCGGAACCAAACATAAACATACCTGGTAAAATCCTCAAACCCCACTACTACATACAGCGGCCAGGTGGTTAGTGAGTTTGATCTTACAATAATTTCCAGCATATTATGTACTTGACAAGCACTTTGTACTTTTCCCTATCCGGGGCAAGCCTCTTGATATTGTTCCATGTCTTTCCACTTTTCTGTACATCATTCCCTGTGACTCTTCTCCAGGTTCCAAGTGGTCTTCCCTTTTGATCTCTCCCACTGTAGATGCTATTGTAAACTAAACTTCCCCACAGGATCAGTAAAAGTGGAATTTTATTTTTATTTTATTTAATTTCATTTATTTTATAGATGACACAAGGCTACAGACTAACTCAAAAATCACACAAGTTTGTGGTGAGTAGTATAACAAGTCAGTGTGACAGAAGTCAAATCTTGCAAGAAAGTACATCATGATAATAGCTATACTTACAAGAAAAAGACGAAACAGACCACACTAGGGCACCCATTAACCCCTCAGCAAATCAACAATGTCAATTACCTCAGTGTTGTCGTGACCCAAGAGGTCGCTCAGTACTTTGAGAGTTTGGTGAGAATTCCCAATACATTTTTTTTTGCCTGCAAAAACAAAGAAAATATATGATCATTTTTTAAAAGGCTTTGTTCATGTAAATGTGTAAATGTTTTGCTTCATTTATTTATCACCACTATTTAAGGACCAGCATCTGTGGAGTAATGGTTAGGCTCTGTACTGTTGTACGCAGAAGATATGACTGTGATTCCTGCACAGGGAAGTTTTTATTAAGTATCTCTGCCCGTCTGCGGGATATCCCAATCAACACAGGTCGGCCGTGACAGGAAGGTTTTGAGCAGCTCGCCTCTAAAATGATCTAAATTGTGCACATGGGAAGCCAAGAATGTTTCTGGATGTCCTGGGTCTGCAGGGGTTATAACAGTTGTAAAGTCCATAGAGCATGCTGTAGAGCATGGATACGCACCATATAAATCAGTTTTCTTTCTTTTTTTTTTCTTAATACAATTTAAAAACACAAAAAAGTAATTTTCAGACAATTTGGGAAGCAGCCTCCTTCAGCCCCACAAGTCGAGGCCAATCCAAGCTGTGTGGGATACATCTTCACAGAAACACTGAGTTATTCTATGAGGTGTCCTCAACACATGGGAACAGAATTTGCGTTAGTTTCATTCAAAGTTCAAAGTCCAGCTTTTGTATCAAAGATACCAGTTGGAAAGATACCGAAGAAAACAAAAAATGCAAAGATTGATGTTACAATTTTTTTTAAAGGGAATTCACATTCAGTTAAAAAATTAAAAGGATTTTAAAATTCATTGCACCAGCACATCTACGATTTAATAAATGAAATATGACTACAGTTGACCCAGCAGATATCTCTCACCAGGCAAAGGGTACAACAGAGTTCAGTCTGTTACATATCTTAACACGCCGCTACCAGCAGCTTGCAGTCGAAACCACTCACAACAGTTCAATCACATTCCTCTACAACGATGATGTTATATCGACTTAGGGTAACTGCAGAAAACAGGTCTCTCTTATCAGGGGATTCTTTCATTAGATGAAGAACTGTCAAAAAAGGTTAATTTCTTATCAATTTAGTGACATGTGTGTCACTTTCAAGTTTAGTACCAAAAGAGGGCTCCAGAATAGTAGGGAAAAACCCCTCCGAAGATAAAGAGTTGGACTTATAAGTTGGAGAGGGTGTAAAATATAATAGACAAACAAAGCATGACATCAGCCTACTCAGATGACATCTGTCACTAACAGTCCTGAGGCAAATGGGACAGGAAAGGTTTGACTCTGATGTAAGGTGTTGAATGTCAGGAGGGTTCCTCATAAACACATCTCAAGTAAATCATCAGTCATGATGTGCTTGGAATAGAAAAAGAGAGGTGAATTTCTTTTTATTCCAAGGGACTGTAAGAGTTGCTCTATAGTTGGAAACTTTCTTCTTCAAGGACTAACATGGGTTTTTTTTCTTTGTCTGACACCAAAACAATCAAAACTTAGGTACAGTTGACCCAGCATACATGCCTCTCACCCTCATTCCTAAGGCGAAGGGAATAGCAGTGCCCTGTTTCAGAAATGATGAGCTAAAATATTATATTACATATCATCAGGTACAGGACGTATGACTGGATAAGACACAGGTAGCCTTGAGAGCCAAAATTTTGATGTAAATTAAAAGTTTATAGGGTAAAACGCATCAGCTTTTTTATGGCAAGCATCATCTCCTCTGTAAGTCAATTCCTCATTAATAATTACACTTCAAAAGAAAACAAATCAACATTCTTATAACTTACTTTTTTTCAACAGCAGTCTAAGATATAGACCAACAGTGCAAAAAGTCCCTGTCAATTAGTTTCAAAGAGATGATGTCCACATGTTACTGCATTGATGACCTGATGACCTGGCCCACAAAGTTTGTTCCCTTGGGTGGTCCCCACTGGGTTTTAGTTTTTAGTTTCGGTAAGTTTTTTCACACTAGTAACACAATTAGGTCATATAAACGCCGAAGATTAAAGGTGTTATTAAACAGTAACAAACAAATAAAGGAAGGAGGAGATAACTATAACAGATGTTTGAAAGGAAAAAAAGGAGCCAACCACACAAGAACACCCGCCAACCACCCATCCTCAGGTTTTTTTGGGTCTCATTTCTGTCTCTTAGATAATACAAGGGTAAAAAGCTGCATCCTATGCGCAGTGATGTATGGTGTGTTGTAAGATATTTAAAAAAAAACAAAAAAAGTCAGCCCAGCACATGTCTCTCACCAGCAGTCCTGAGGCAGAGATTCATGAGGAGGGCCACAGAATATTCTAGCGTGTAGTCGGAGAGAGAGTCGTTGTCTTCCAGAACACCCACCAGCCACTCAATCACACCTCGCTCAATCATAGCAGACTGAAGTTGACGTCTGGAAAAAATATTTTAATAAAATTAAAATTGTAAATTAATAATAATAATGAACTTAAAGATCACATTTAATTTCAAATTTCAAATCTTTACATACAGCAACGTTTAAAAAGTTTGTCATTCTAGTTAATACAGTAACCCTAGCTAAAAAAAAAAAAGAGTCCTTTCACACTAGTGACCAACAATGACATGTTGATTATCTGAAATGGTGAGATATCCTGTATTATACAACACTGGTGACCCATTATTAGCATGTATTTGAGTATATCTATAAAATATGTATGCAATTGTAAACCAAATATTCCAAAAGTGGATCAACAAAAATGGAATGAAGTGTCTAAATGAATCTTACTCGCAGGAGAAGTTATTAAAAAGCAGCACGGTGTTCACCTGAGGCTAAGTTTCTGCAGGGCTCCCAGCACCATCTCCTGAGCGATGTGGTCTTTCTCATCCCCACGTAAGATGTCCATCAAGGCTGGAAGCAAGTCTGGGTTTGCTGATAAGTACCCACGACCTAGTTCAAAAAGTATTCTTTATTAAACTCAAGCTAGACACATGATTATCTCATTGCCTATCTGCCAACAGGTTTTGACTACTCAAAAATTACAGTATAAGATAATATAAGATAAATAAGAAAAGATAGGATAGGACAGGAATGGATAAGATAAGAGACAAGACAAGACAAGACAAGATGAGATAAGACAAAACATACTTTATCAATACCCCAATGGAAGAAACTGACAGTGTTCTTTCACTAGCTTCTGCAACACAACTTAGACACACCAGGAATCGCAGAAACACATCACATTCATCCTCTCTCACTCAATCCTACATTCCAGCCAACACTCTCTACAAACACACAACAGGGTAGTTGAAGGGACACAAAAAGCAGGGCTTAAGTATATACATGTTGTAATGGAACATGAGAGCTTGAGTACAGATCATCACATAAACGCAATACCCATCATTTAGAGCATGGAAAAAGTACTACAAAAAGACTGAAACAACAGAGAGAAAGAACAGATGTAGGACCAACCAGTGGTACACTCTAACCACCCATCAAAATAAGAAAGTAATCCCAACAGGTCCAGGTATATGAAGAAAAAAAAATTGATCTAAAACATCAGCTGCTTGCACCCTTCAAAAACAGATTAAGGTTTTGATGGTGAAGAGTGTATGTGTTTTTTACACCCCTTTCGAGATATTAACCCTTTAAGCCCTGATCTCCTGAGGCTACCGAGCCCCTCTGCCTCAGCTCCCGAGCAATTCACCCCTTCATTCATATCATCGTCAGAATCACATTCTATATCCCACTCAGGGTAGTCCTCGTCATTACCATCATCTACTTCAGAGAGATCTTCAAAAAAATCAATAACGTCTTGTACAGTAAACACTGTGTTCCATGAGCATTTTGTACCGGACCAGCTGGGTTCGAGATAGGGTTCGCACATAGCTGTACCAATGGCTAGGCATACGGGCAGTTGTACGCGCCACCACTGTATGGCCGGGTAGGGTTCAAAGGGTTAAGAAGATCATTTAGATAGCACGCTTCAAAATTGTTCCCTCTCGACTCGGGTTCAAGGATCCTGAGTTGGAATCTCCGCAACTTCATGTTTAAATAAGTATTAAGTCTATAACCCAATTGTGAACTTGCTACCTCCAAACCCCTTACGAAATCCCAAAAATAATATCAGCCACTGTACTTGCTACCTACTAAGGTCCTCTCTTCCCTTGTCTTGGCCCACTAGAATAGGCTAATACTAACAAGGTCACCATAGCAGAGACAGTGCCCACCATTTCGGAACTTCACGGTGACATTAAAGATGGTTCCAGTAGGGAACGGGATAGCGGGTGCCCACATTCCTCATGACTCATAAATGCAGAGGAAGATAGGACTAAGGCTAATATTTTTAAAAAATAAAATAACAACAACCAAATAACAGAAGCATGTCTTCTTAATAATTATAAACATAAGCACCATCCCACATCATCACTTATCACCATCATCACCGTCATTTCTAAAGTCATCGTTGCTCTCAGATCCTTCACAAACATCTATAATTATCTGAAACATCTATATGTAACAGTTATATGTCAAAACAATTTTGTACATTATACATTATTGGGCACTCTCATATGCACATTTTTCTACCTATCAGATGGCGTCAATATCATAGAAATGGGCAAGGGACAAAAAAAAAAAAAGATAGTACGCTTCAACCCTGCTCCCGGGGCCAACCTGGGCTGAGAGAGATACAAAGTCCCAGCAGAAAGAGTGAGACACTCAATAAAAATTCTCCTCATACAGGAATTGAACTCCGGTCTTCTGTGTGTAACGGAAAAGGGCCTAACCATAACATCACAGACGCCGGTTAGGTCTATAGGGGTCAAGGTCAAGATAAGTCAAGCCCAACTCACCAGCACACATGGAGGCACAAGCGTTGTACAGACGAGCTAGGTACTGCTTGACCACATCCGAGCTCTGCAGCAGCAAACTCATGATGGTGTCCTGTAACAATGGCACATTGGTCAATACAATGATAATAACGAAAAAACAAAATGATAATAAGAGCAAAAATCATACTAATAACAATGACATGAGCAATTATAGTAAAATTACTCTAGTAAATATTATCAAAACATATAAAACCAATAACAACAAAATGATAACAATCCTAGAAATAATAGTAACAATAGTAATAACAACAACAATAATAATAAAAGTACAATAATCATTTAAAAAAATAAAAATAATGATGATGATAAAAATAATAATACAGGGGATGTTGCAGGGGCAGAAGATCCCCAAAAGAGATTGACATTTTGTGTCTTTGTTTGTTTTGGTAAGTGTTTTACAGCGCTCGCAACTGCATAAGGTCATATGAGCGCGCGGGACACACTAAACATTTTCAGTAGGTAGGAAATTTTGAATTTTTTGCGGGTGGCGGCCGAAGCCTACTCTTATCGATTTTAGACCACCAAGGGATCTTTATTGTGCACAGCTTGCACACGGGACCTCCGAGATTTTTTGCCCTTGTCCGAGAAAGCTAGGTGTAGATCTTTCCTACCAAAAGATCAGGGGTGTGGTTGAAAGACAGCAGTAAGAAGGAGCCGAGGAGTAGCAGTAGAAAGGCTGCAGAAAGAGACAGGAGCCCAGAGGAGGGAGCAAAGGAGAGAAGGGGTGAGGGCAGAAAGTGAAGACCAAAGCAGACGACAGAACATTGCTAGACAGCAGGAAAGGAGATGAAAGGAGACAATTTTTTAGAAGAAAATTTTTCCGTCGCTACCCGGATTCGAACCCGGGACCTTTGAATGAGAGGCAGACACCTTAACCTCTAAGCCATGAGAGCCCCCTTTGTGTCTTTAGATGATTAAAAATGGCATTTGGGAGACTGTTTGAAGAGATTGCCAACAACCCATAAAACCTAATCTTTTCACCTGTTCTCTCCGATGTGCGGATTTCCGTAAAAATACGGAAGATTGGAAGCACTAAAACACTAGAGTGACATGGAGCTGACAAACAAGCCTTAACCATGATGTCTGCCAAATATGCTCTTTGAGAAAAAGCATACTGATAATTAAAACTGAGAAAAATTCTAGTTCTTATGCACAAGCGCCAAGCAATGAAACAAAGAGTATTAATTTTTGTCGAAAAAAAATGTTTGGAGACCAGGGATTGGAAATAAAGAGGAAGGAAGTTTTCGTTTTTTCCCAAGCATTTTTACAGAAGTTTTCTTGTTGCTGGTCCTGAAGGGAGGGCTATGAAGAGACAAGAGTACTCATCTCTGCTCATCAACTCTTTATCTCCGGAGGGGGTTCTCCTTACTATGCCTGAGCACTCTTTCAGCACAAAACCTGAGAGTGACATACACATCACTACACTGGTCATTAAATCAAAACAACCAAACCTATTTTGACAGCTCTTCATCTAATGAAAGAACTCTCAGTATGAGAGACCTGTTTCTGGAAATTGCCGGAATTAATATAACAGCATCATCATTGCAAAGGAATGTGTCCGAGCCACTGAAAGTGGATCACAGCACAGCAGTTGAGACCAAAAGCTAGTGGGAGCAGCTTGACAGTGATAAAGAGTTGTTGAGGTCTTACCCTGTAGGGTCCGGAGTTGGTACATCCAAGAATGTCGTTCTGTATGTAAGCACTGAGGATCTGGTCTCTCTGTACGGCACGTGTGTGGGTCAACCTCTGGGGAGGGGGGGGGGTGGTGGTGGTGGGGGGTAATTTCATATATATTTCATACATTGATAACACACAAAAGCATGACTTCTGTGAAAATTTACAAACAAACTATATAACAGTTTAAAATATGTAATAGTGCTATATGTTTAATGCAAGCCACAGTCAAAATGTACGGACAAATTATATAATAGAATGAGGCTGACCTGAAATATACACACTGTCACTGATATGGGCAGTCTGCTTATCAAACAAAACCTAAACTTAACAAGAGATATGGAAACATTTCATGATACATATTATCATTATTTCTGTGCATAGTCTTGAGTTAGCAGTTGCTTGCACAGCGTCAGAGAAAACAAAAACAGCAAGGATTTCCAAAAATATGTTTCTTGACTCGATGAACCCAATGAACCTAATGAACTCAATGTGCATGGTTGAGCATGGCTACCTTTACCCTCCCTAGCACCAAACACATGCCTGGTCTCCCTTAGTCATACAGTAATGAATCTCACTCGTTTATTTTTCTTTCTTCCTCATCTCACTCCCTTATTCAAAAAAAATCATTTTGTCTCTCACCCATCTCAGAGCTTGAAGAACCAGTGCCTTCTTCCTGTCCAGAGCATCTGTAATCTGAGCTTTGACCTGTATGAAGTCCAGTGGTGGGTACGTCTCTTCTGGCTCTGCCAGGGGCAGAACACTGCAAAAACCCCCACAAAAAGTAACTTTTTTAACAAACTCTTACAGTCTTACTATAATGAAGTAGGTCATTATAAAGATGGAGCATCAGGCTCAGAAAATAATAAACAAATATAAAAGCTTACACCAAAAAAAAAAGAAAAAAAGAAGAAAAACCGCCTTGTTAATCCTTAAAGAGATCATTCAAACATCCTTTGCACAGTGAAAGACCCTTTAAGAGATAGAAAGTCAGCTCTGAGGTGTAACAATTAGGCACTTTGCAATTGAATGCAGATGACCCGAGTTCCATTCCTATGTGGGGAAAAATATCTATGCAGTATCTCGATCTCTTTGCTGGGAACTCTCAACCTGGGTTAGCCGTGTCAGACAAGGTCAAAACCTGTCTCCTAAATAATCTCAGTTGCATCACTGGGGGCATAAAACACCTTCATTTTTTTAAAAAGGGGAGACAGAAGCATAGTCAGTTGGCTCAAAGGCCAGCGTTGAGGTACTCACGGAGGGGGCATTGCGGACGCTCTCAGGGCTTCTCCTGCTGTGCCTGGCCTCGTCAGATCCACCGAGGTCCTCATGTGGGAGGTGAAGAGCCGGTTACACAGCTGTTGTAGGTACTCTGGTGTAATCTGACGGATGACAGAAAGTCATACTACTTTTGTAACAAATGTTTCTATGATCCATGTGTGTGTACGCGTGTGTGAGTCTGTGTGTGTGTGCGTGGGAATGTGTGTGTGTGTGTGTGTGTGTGTGTATGTGTGTGTGCATGTGTGAGTGTGTGTGTGTGTGTGTGCGTGGGAATGTGTGTGTGATTGTGTGTATGGGTGTGTGTGTCCATGAGTGTGTATGTGTACATGTGCGTTGAAGAAGGATAATGCCATTAAGAATTGATGCCCATTTTTTTTTTTGGTTCAGGCTTTCAATATAACTTTCTGAGATTTTTCACGAATGATCTGGCCTCTTTCAGCTTCAACAGTTTATCAGCACATATGAAGTCTAAAACCAGGAGGCCAGTTGTTTCAAATTTGCCTACTGCAACTCATCTAGATAGCGTGGGATACATCACAACAGAAAAATAAAGATACTCTGAAAAACACCCTCTCCGTCCTGGAATAGAACTCATGTACTTTGCATTCAAAGGAAAGACTGTAACCATTACACCACACATACTGGTGACAATAACTGCATAAAAATTCAAAACTAAGACAAACACTATAACCAAACATGTCCCCTGGAACGCTTCAAATCACATCCTTTTTTTTTTTTCCTTTTAAAAATTCAGTCAACCAACGACTGACCTTTAGAATAAAAAATATATTCTAGCAAATAAAATTCTTCAAAAATAAAATCCAAAAATCCCAACATAGATAAAAAGTTTTGGTAAAACAAGTCTGCATCTTTTTAGATGTCAATAAAAATAAGTAATAAAAGGATTAGGACAAAAGAAACTTTTCACTTTTTGAGCTAAGCTCATAGCAGAGTTAGTAAATACATTGGGAAATCATAGCCACTATCACTGAGTCATTATTTATTGCAATTTGTTCTGCAAGCTAATGAAAAAATAAAACATGCAAGTAGCAGTAAATAAAGAAATGAAAGTGAGAGCCTAGTGTAGCATAGGAGACCTTATAAGGGTAAAGCTGAAAGAGGTTCAAAGGGGAACTATGCATAGATAAGATAACATTTACTTGAGTTTCATTGTGGGAAAACACGAGTTCTTTATCTTAATGTGAGAGGGTGTGTGTATTTCTGTGCATGAAAGTATGTATGAATGTGTCCGTGCAACTCTATGTATTTATGTGTATGTTTGCACATGTAAGAGCATCTAAGCATGTGTGTGAGGGTTCATAGTATGTTGGTTTATGTTTGCATGCATAATGTGTCTTTGATGTTTTGAAAATTGAGACTGTTTATGTCCAGGTAATCAAGTATGCGAGAGTGTGTATTGTGTGTGAGTGTATGTATCATAGTGTGTGTGTCTGATTGTGTGTGTCTGTGTGTATGTGTGTGTACGAGTGTGTGTTAGTGTGTGTGTGTGTGTGTGTGTGTGTGTGTGTGTGTGTGTATGTGTGTGTGTGTGTGTGAGTGTGTGTGTGTGTGTGTGTGTGTGTTTTACGCTTATGAGCATTATGAGTATTCATGTGTGAGTTTGGGTATGTGTACATATGAAAATAATAATGAAGGAGCTGACAGAAAAGATCAAAGTCCATGAATCTCAACAATGAAGAACGTGCTGTCACAAGCAATTACCATCAAAAGCATATCCGCCACACCCATGCACTCAATGAGCAATTTGAGGCCTAACTATTAACAAATCTGAGCTTCGTCATTTTTAGAATAGTGCAACAGCTCCTCTTGAATATATCTGCAAGAACCTTTCCTTAAACAAAACATCCTTTCTGGCCTGGGCAGATTCAAACCCACAGACTTATGTATATAAGCTTGCCGATGATATGCAAGGTAACGTGTCCTTTCAATAACTCAACCATTAGTCTAAGATGCCCTCTTTAAATATGCAAAAAAAATCCAGTTGACACATAAGAAAACTGGACATTACTGTAACCAGCTTTCAGAAAGAGACAGAATGCTTTTATTGATTCATCCTTTAAGATTTTGCAATGCTCTCTACAGTGTTCATTCAATTTCTATATAAGCATTACCAAAAAAGCTAGCAACCACCACCACCGACAGTGCAGTCATGAGAGTAAAGAATAAACGTTTCCATTTATTGCTTCAAAAACTAAAATCTCATGCCCAATGGATGCATGCACTCAACTGAAAACAATAGAGAGACTGATAGAATTGACAAATATACAACATTTTTAAAAACCCTCATTTTCTAGATAAAGAAATGAAAATCTGAAGAGCATGTAAACTTTGAAACTGCTGGAATCATTGCAAAATAACCAAGTCTAGATCTATATAAAGAAGAAACGAAATCAGCAAGCATGGCAGTATGAAAGACATGGTGAAACCACGTCAACCAGACTACTTTTCTTCATACTTGCATGCTACAAACAAAGGCACTTTTGTCATTGGGAAAAAAATCCCCACTCCTACAACAAGCACAAGAAAACTACTTGACAACCTGAAGGTGTGTTAACTAGCTCATATCAATAGAATATTAGCAAAGATTGCAAGTATACAAGACAAATTTCTTTTACAAAAGCATCTTCCTTAATCTACCTGCAATAGTAGACATGTCACAACATAGACCTATGAAAACCTTTTGAATTCTTTCTCAAATAAATGTTCTTTACTCAAAGTCTTTTGTATTCAAAATATGTTGCTCCCTAAAAATGGCATCCTACCTGCAAGAATATAGACGTTGTCACCAACCCTATTCAGTCTCAAAGAAAAGAAAAGTGACTCCTCTTGCAGTATACAATCTTTGGTACTACTATAACTACAAAGCATGGCCCAGGAAAGTTACACAGCTTCAAGATTCAGGTAGAATTAAGTACAAAAGTCAACCTTTCCATAAAAAATAATGAAAGCAAGGAAGTACAGCTGAACCTGTCCAAAACGACCACCCATTGTTGTGGAAAAAGTGGTCATCTTAGGCAGGCAGTCCTTTTGGACAATGTCATTGAAATATGGAGAGAAAAAAAGCGTAAGGGGAGAAGTGAAAAGTGGTCATATGTACAGGTAATTGTCATGGACAGGTGGTCGTTAGTGCAGGTTTGACTGTAGTTATACAAGCATGCATGCAATCAAATATTCAAAATGTGCATGCATATGTGTCTTACCATATCTATCTAGAATCAAACCAAGAAAAGAAAGGGTGAAAAAAATCAAATCAACAATAGAAAAAAGTGTAAATCAAAATACGTAATGCAATTGTATTTCATTTGGATGGATTTGAAATAGAAGGTCCACAAGAAGAGCAAGAGGCCAAAAACGAGAAAATACAAAGAGAGACGGAGAGAACACAGCGGTTTAAAACGTAAAATTAGAAATGTTATAAACATGAGGTATAAATATGGGTGGTAATGTCACAAAAGTGGTGCACATACTAGACTTTAAAAGGTTTACAAATGAAGTAAAGGTACAGATTGGAAAATGGTCACAACACTTCATCAACAAAAGTCATTATATTATATCAATATCTTTCTTTTTTTACACTTTATTTCTCTTTGAACTTGACAAATTTTTAGACAGAGCTCAGGACATATTCGTATTGAAGAAAAAAGATGTAGAACAAAAAAAGCCCAAACACAGGAACACAGGTACGTCCTCCGCAATTTTCTGCTTACTTATTCACCGAGAGCCACGCTTGGCCAAAATGACAATACAGCGGACATTTAGCCAGAACAAACTGAAGTGAAGACACAATATCCATAGTGTCGGGCACATATAGGCTATTAAGAAAGGTTGAATACTGTTTAATTCAAACTGACACAGACCGTTGAAACTCAAATTTGGTATAAATGAATGTAATAAATTTTGAAAAAATCTTGATGCGTCACTTTACTGAGATGGCATATTTGACCCTGCTTTATAATAATAATAGTCAAAACTGAGGTTTTAGAAAATTTGAAAGTTGGCTCAACTGTGCCTGACAGAATTGGTATTAAGCAACAGAATCCTCTGACAGCTCTAGCTGTATAGTTATGTATCTTTTTTATTCTTCTTCCAACAGCAAGTGTGAACAGTAGCCACAGTGACTGTCTTTTTTTGTACGTGTTCTTCATCAGATTGCGAGTGTATATTATGTATTTAAAAGAATTGTGGTACGTTGAATGGACCAGTATGCACGAAACGTTGATTTAAATCTTATTTTATGGTGAAGCGCCAGGAGCTAGCAGGGAGTGGGCCCTGTGAAGTGATCTTAATTACTATTATTATTATCGATTATTATTGTTATTATCAATTATTATCAATTGTGCCACAACGCGGTGAAGTACGGCACTCGTCAATTTGTGGGCATATGGAGTTATTGGAATCATCTTAAAGGTTGTTCACTTATCTTGCTTTTCATGAAAAAAATATCCATTTATCTTGAATAGAAGTCGAGATATTTGCGATTGAAGGAGGTGGGGTCACCTGGTTTCAGAAGTAAAATTAGCGGCCGCCCAAGTTTGGTGACTTCCATAGCTAATCAGTCCTTGGAAACTGCAAATGTACATTTTTTTGTGCCTTTAATCAACGTTTTTCCATAAAATCCACACATAAAAATGTTTTTGAATGAACAAACAAGGTGTTGAGCTAAGAAAATTTTTTTTTAATTCAAAAGATTTCTCGGATCTAATTATTTTGACGAG